TTGTTGCAACAAAAATGTGCGTACGGAGGATTCCTGTGTCGGCAATTTTATGTGCCCCAAATCAAAAGTTTGCGTCTAAATACCCATAATTAAGCATTTCCAAGATCTCTGATATACTAAGGAATGCAACTCATGAAATCCAATAGACATTGCTAGGACAAAGCACTAAAATATTTATTCGATCCACCAGTGTCAAGGTGTTGATAGGTTATCATACTGGAACCTTGGCTAGTGAAGGTGATGGACAACAGGCCATCCCATATGCTCTTCTAGTCCATGACCAGATGAGCTAAACATGAGTCCCTTGAAGGGACTGACACTACTGTCTCAAAAGAATATCCAAGATTTTTAGCGATCAGACCCTTTCTTCTTTTAAACTGCCAAGTGTTGAAACCATTTCTGAAATTCTAGCACAATAAGATTATATATATATATATATATATATATATATATATATATATATATATATATATATATATATATATATATATATATATATTCATTGTGGTAGCCATATTTGACACCATTTTCATTCAGGACCAACTAGATATCTTGATTGGTCCTTTGGTAAAAAATCCATTTATTTTCTTAAAACTTTTTTTTGTTCCATTTCCGATTTGCAATACAAGATTTTCAAGATGGCTACATCTACAAAATTTTTATTTAAAATAGGCCTCCATGATGGCCAGTCTTTATATCATATTGGCACAATTTTTATTCAAGATCAACTTTAAGAAGTCTATTGGTGAAAGCTCTGTGCTGATATGAATTACTGTTCAGGAGGAGTAGTAATAACAAGATGGCTACTCTTGTGGTCTTATTCACTGTCAAATAAATACCAATTTCACTTTGAACGAATTAGACATCATAAGCAGTCTTCTGGTGAAAACCAAATATACAAAAAAATACAACTTTTGTTTTTCTGAAGAAGTGATAAGATTTTCAAGATGGCTGCCATAGTGGCCATATTAGAGATTGGATTAGCACCACTTTCATTTAGAATCAACTAGACATCAAAAGAAGTCTTGTAGTGAAAATCCCCATTTTGATATAACAATTCATTCAGAATAAGACTTTTAAGATTATCAATTTAGTGGCAAAGCAAAACTGTTTTCATTTAGGACCAACCAGACATCACAATGAAGAGTACTAATAAGATTGTAAACATGGTTGTTGTGACTACCATACTGGATAGATGAACAGCACCATTTTCATTTCAGGTGTATTACCAACTAGACCTTGAGTGTGTGTGTGTGTGTGTGTGTGTGTGTGTGTGTGTGTGTGTGTGTGTGTGTGTGTGTGTGTGTGTGTGTGTGTGTGTGTGTGTGTGCATGTGTGTATGTATGTATGTGTGTGTAAAATTAAGTTTCATGGCAATCTTCCAGATAGTTTAGGAGAATGTGCAATAACAAACTTGTGCTCATAGGCATACAAACATTAGAAGATAGTCCATCCCAAAAGCTCTTCAGGTCTATGATCAGTAGAGCTAAAGAGATTAATTGTTTATATTATTTTAATTGAATGGAATTTATAATTCAAGCGATTCTGCTTAGTTACAAATACTATCAAACACTGACTTTTGGCAGTTTTTTTATGTCCATTTTAACAGCACATGACATTTCTACATTCAATATTAGTCTGTTACTTTGAGTTTGATCAGCTTAATCTGCACAAAAATAAAATGAACAAGATTTTCAACTTGACTAATGATATTCAGAGATGGTCCTGGCTTTTAAAAAATTTTCGCAAAAAATATCGCCAACCGCAATATTTTGTTGCCAATTTTCAAAGTGTCGCCAAAATAAATAGTGAATATTTTTCCAAGTCAAAATCGCCACCTGATATTTTTTGTCGCTAATAAGAAAAAAATCGCAATTTGCGACATTGGCGAAGCCCAGGACAATCCCTGGATATTGATGAATGTGCACAGGTAATACCTCACTCTTCAACCATACCCAACCCTATAATAGTATCAAGAGCTTTTGATCATGTATATTCTACAATCTCTCTTAACACAACTACCTCTAAAAAAGGTGATAACAAAAACATTAACCATCTCAAAGAAAAACTATAAGTAAAGTTGATCATTTCACCTCTTACGATAATTTATATGCAGCACTTTATTATTGCAAATACATTTTTTTTTAACTTAGCCAATGAGTGTACACCAAGTTATATATTTCATTTGTTACTTTAAGACTGAATGACCAGATCTGATTGAATTTGGATCTTTTTTGATTTTTGTTTTAAATGTAGGTTTAATAATTTTTCAGTCATATTGCTATGATGTCTGCAGTGTGGCAGTTTGTAATGACATCTAGCACTGGGGCATCATGCTGCAGACATGTAGCATGATGTACCACCCAGTCACACTGTCCTGACATCAGGCCGACCAGACCTAACACTAACCTCTTAATGCTGAGTGCCAAGCAAGGCAGCTGTTAGTACCAGTTTTATAAGTCTTTTGTATGACTCAGCTGGAGATGGAAACCACAAACTCCACACATCCAAGGAGGACACAATACCCACTAAGCCACAGGAGCAGTCAGATCTGATTGAACACCAAATCTCTGTAAAGGGATATTAAAGTCCTAGATAGACTATGTCAATGGCTCCTAAAACCATCCCTTTATATAGCATCAACTTTTGTATCATTATACCATATACTTTCTTCTACTGCTTTGGGTATCAAAAGGCCATATTTTAGGACCATTTCCATTTCTCATTCATATCAAACACAGACTTTTGAAAACTTTTTATCAAGTAAATATCATTTTACAGATGATTCTTTTCCATAAAATTTATGCCAAATATCCACTTTTTTGTTCTAAAGGTGTCATTAATGATGACATAAGAAAAAATCTTGGCTTAGGCAGATATATAGCTAGTCCACTTCAATGCTTAAGCAATTTAATGTATTCTTTTTACAAGAAGAAAACTATATTCCTGAAATTAAATTCAACAAGGGAAAAATACACCTTTTCAAATCATATTGTCGCCATGAAGTAACTTTAATTTCATATTAAACTTGACCCTGTCACACAGATAATATTAATCTGCCTCCAGTCATTTTGGGTACTAATTAATTTTAAATATCCTATGATAAAGTCATATACAAAATTAGCCAAAATTATGTTACTAATGTAATACAACCAATCACCTAGTTTGTTGTTTTTACAACCTGAGACATTCCTATTATATCAAAACTCACATTTACAAAGCAAAACAACCTTTCAAGCTCTCAACTTTTGGAAAGAGCATATTAAAAATGTTAAATGTACACCTTTCTGTCTCATGTGTAGCAACAGAAAAATTAATTTTGTTAACACACCTAAAACATATATGTAGTATATGAAGAAAACTGAAATAATCCTGTTGATGCTCTGTGGATCAGCAAATGAAAACAATCACCAATCTTTCTTTGAATGAACTTTTGTAACATTCAGAGACAAAATTTGAATTGCAAGTCTTTGTTTTTATTTCCAAACTGATTCAGATACTGTTGATATGAATATTTTAGAACGCTGAGGATGCAAAAATACAAAAACAAAATAATTATTAACCCTTAGTGGTTGGGAGAAAACTTCCAATACCAAGTGTTAATATAAGAATTATTAGACCAACAAGCTGTTCTAACAATTATGCAAATATTTAAACATGTGCCGCCGAACAAACATATTTATCAAGTGAATTTATATTTTTATCAGTATTTGGTTAATTAAGGATACGTAAAAATAGTAAACTATACACTTGTTAACGAAATTTGGAAGCGAATGTCGATGCTAAACAAGGAAGCATAATTTACGAACATGTAACATTTGTTGGGGCTAAATACTTACCCAGGGATCTTTCGAACATAGATTTGTTTCCAAACATTGCAAGGTAATATATATAGGTAAATTATTGTAACACAAGGAAATGAGTCATAATATTATGACTGCGAATCCCGTGAAATAATATGGAGAACCTTTAGTGCCGCTTAGGATCCGCTAACGTTTTGAATTGGGATGAAACTCGATTCAGTGATCATACCACATTGTAATAAAATAATACAATTATTTATTTATTATTATTGATTTATTTTATTTTAAAATTTATCGATTGTCGGGTATTACTCAGACCTAGTTAATTGGTTAACGATATATGAGATAAGGTCAAAAGGGCAATTTACCGGAACTAAAATGAAATTACCGGAACAAGTCGTAGTCTGGTTCCCAACGTAGTGGAGAGGTCAGGGAACCATACTAAACAAGTCGATGTTATATGTTGTTATATGGACAAGTCAAACAAAACCGGTACATTAATTTACACACACACACACACACACACACACACACACACACACACACACACACACAATTTTTTTGATAAGGTATAAATTCAAAACAGTATTTATTAAATTAAGGTCAACGTTAATAAATGTATATTTCTATGTTACTTCGATGACATTTAAAATGACAAAAAAAATGTCAACAAACCTGAACATGTTGGAGCAACCGTACCATCAGGAACAAACAATAACTGTCAATCCATTGGTAGTACAGAGTATTACTTGAAGTGATGTGTAGTTACTAGTCATTCAACCACAACAAAACAAGTTGAGGCTACAAGTAGCTAGGTAATGTGATGTCATGTGATTATGATTTTTAACGTAGATTTAACAATTTAACATATCACTGCGATGTCTGCAGTCTGGCAGTTTATAGTGATATCTAGCACTGAGGCATCATGCTGCAGGCCACCGGAGCATATATATATATATATATATATATATATATATATATATATATATATATATATATATATATATATATATATATATATATATATATATCAATGTTAAGGTCAATGTTAATAAATTTAATTTCTTTGTTACTTCGATAACATTTAAAATGACCAAGTGATGTCCTGACATCAGGGCAACCAGTCCTAACACTAACCTCTTAATGCTGAGCGCCAAACAAGGAAGCTGTTAGTACCATTTTTGTAAGTCTTTGGTATGACTCGCCTGGGGATCAAACCCACGACCTCCCGCATCCGAGGTGGACACTCTAACTGCTAGGCCACAGAAGCGGTTAGCATTACTTGACCAAATAAGTGGTGAGGATGAAATGGTCCACTTTACATAGGTTCATGCGCTCTTATTGCATTTTACTGTCCAAACTACATTTATCCTATCTCTGCAGGGCTCACTTTGCACAGATTCTGTGAAGGATGAACATTTTTAAGATTAGATTTTTAGAATTTAGTATTATATCTTCAAAAGCACTGTATAAAATTCTTGGTTGACACTCAAAAGGTAATTATTCAATCAAATGTAAATGGAGAAAAGATAGTTTTTACCTTTTGAAACAGGACTTAAAGTTTGTTACTTAAAAATTTAAAACATTTCCATGATTTCAGTCATCTACTAAAATAATTGAAGATGTTATCCTTCCAGTAGCAACATATTTAGATAAGTTTGTTCAATCAATAAAACATGTATATAAATGTATGTACTTAGACAATGATTTAAAACTGCTATTATTCCAAATCAATTATCCATTCTATTTGCAGGACTCACTTTACAAAGAAGTTACCATTTTTATGAAGGATATTGAAGAGGACCCGAATCTTGAATCCTATTATGTTGACTAATTCATCTGTGTATTCAAATTATTCATTGATTGTAATTTGGAATAAAATCATACTTTTTGTAATTAAATGTAAATATTAAATTCTGCCAAACACTGTATAATGCATGTTTTTATTTAACAAAAAATGCTTTTCTGTGTTGTTTTTGTCAATCAAAATGTCCTGGCTTGTTAAATCTCACTCTAAACCTCACTCTTGCATATGCTATCTTATAATCTGTTATTTTGATACCGTTATTCTGTGTATGCTATTTGATTCCCTGATAAATAAAGAGTAAATAATTTAATAAACATAAATCAATGTTTATCTTGCTTGTTATTATTATTCAAACAGATAGGATAAAATAATACACTTATTATTTTCATTAAGAAGTCATCTCATTAAAATCTTGTCTACATCATAGTCATCTGGGAGTCTAATAGATCCAACATTCAACTCACAACTAGTTTATTTATTTTATGTCTTTTGGGCATTCAATTACTTCTTTGTCAATTCCGAATCCTGTGTGAATATTCCCCTTGCACATATTTTCAAGAAGATGACTTTTTTTAACACCCTTCACAAGTGCCTCAATCCTCATTACAATTTAGTACAATGTCATTACCCCCAACATTGAGTACTATGTAGCTGAAATCACATCACGTCATCCAAAAGGTCTCTGTTATAATGATCAATAATCATTCATACACACCCAAAACATCTCACACCTCCTGAAATCCAATGAGAAATTTATTATTAACCATCAATGTAATAAATAACCTAATAAATCATTATGATTTATACTTTTTATTGATTATTAACATCAGCAAGTACTCATAAGTATTGTGATGTGTCAAATTTCGAAACTCTTAGACGTATTGATTAAATGAATTTACCAAAGTTAATTAAAGTAGAAAGGGCTAGAGACAGTTTTATGATTATTCTCATTTCATCTCTGAATGTCAAAGGAAACTTGGTTTCGCAACATGAAATTTGACAGAGTCATCTGTTATGGTACAAGAGTCTTGGCATAACTCTCTTCAAACTTGCATGGGTAAAAAGGGGAAGCACGTCAATAACTGATTGTTCAAAGGAAAATTAATTGCGGCATGATTAACCTATTCTTGTTAATCAAAAATTCTATGTTGGAGATTTTAGGAACCAGTCAATTCTGATTGGCTAATGGAAACTTAAGGGTGTAAACCTTGTAAGAAAGAAATAGCATTAATATGCAAAATTGCTTCAGTCTTCAATCTTGCTTGGAAGAAGTTATACAGGACTCCGGGGCGAACGTAAGAAGTATGTTCTCTCGTGACTGAAGTAAGGTGAGTTAGTCGTCTCCAAAAGTAGACAGACTATACATTGAAAGTTCGTGGGAAAAACGAACAAAACAGCAAAGGTACACAATCTTAGTTTCCAGATTTTAATATACTATTTCATTTGTTGATTTATTTGCAAATGTATTGATGTTATGTATATATGTATGATTTCATTTTTCAGGGTTTTAGCGAAATGTTAGTCACAACATTTTATTCTTTGATTTTCTAATTATCAATTCATTGAGAGAATTGACAAGATTGCATATACTTGAATATTCAATACATAGGAATGCATAGGAATTTCATGAATCCACCCTAATACATGATGGGCAATGTTTCATGATTTATGAATTAAATCTGTGTGTAGTATGCCATGTATTGAGTGTATATTCATAAACTAATTTGTAATATTTAATTGATCACATAAACTATTTTAGAATAGTTAGATTTGATGGGCTAAGCCATATGTAATTTAACACTAGACTGTATTAAATAGCTTAATGTAGAGAAGTCATGGAGTGTTAAATATGGGCACATATGTGCTAGTCGTAAAGCGGAAACTAATGCCATGGTGGTAAAAAAAACCCCACACACCATGTGTTTTTGCAAATTCTAAAATTGCCCATGTTTATTGGATTACTTTTGTTATAAGATATTCAGTATGAGACACACAGTTCAACTCTTCCGTTTCAGAGGTAAGTAAAGCATTTTGTCCAAAATCCCATAATGCCAAAATATAAATGATCAGTTTTGAGAAAAACGGGAACTTCTGAAATGTTTAGTAGTGTTAACAAAATTTTTAATATGGCTGCTGTGGTGGCCATACTGGCTTTCAGACTAACTCCATTGATTTTGGACCAACAAGATACCACAAGAAATCTTTTGGCAAAAACCCTATGTTGGTCGGTGAGCACTCCATGTTGATATGACCATCCATTCAGTAAAGTAGTGATAATATTTTCAGTATGGCCACTGTGATGGGCATATTGAGTATCAGACTGATTATTCATTTTGGACCAACTAGATGCTACAAGATGTCTTCTGGTGAAAACCCTAAGTCAATATGGTTTTCAATTCAGACGGAGAAGCAATAACATGATAAAGATGGCTGCTTTTGTGGCCACACTGGATGTCCAATTGGCACAAATTTAAATAAACAGCTAAACATCAAAATAAGTCCTGTGTTGAAACCAATTTTTCCTTTTAACTATTTAGTGTTGAAACCATCTCTGATATCCTTAAGTGACAGCAAGATTTTCAAATTGACTCCTGTTATAGACATACTGGATATCAGATCAGCACTAAGACTAAGAAGACATGATAATAAGACTTTCACTGATATGAATACAAGTGACAAAAAAGATGGCTGTTGGGACCATCCATTCTGGTGTAATAAAATGATATGAATACAAGTGTCAAAAAAGATGGCTGCTGGGACCATCCATTCAGGTGTAATAAAATGATGAATACAAGTGACAAAAAAGATGGCTGCTGGGACCATCCATTCAGGTGTAATAAAATTATATGAATACAAGTGACAAAAAAGATGGCTGCTGGACCATCCATTCACATGTAATAAAATGATATGAATACAAGTGACAAAAAGGATGGCTGCTGGGACCATCCATTCAGGTGTAATAAAATGATATGAATACAAGTGACAAAAAAGATGGCTGCTGGGACCATCCATTCAGGTGTAATAAAATTATATGAATACAAGTGACAAAAAAGATGGCTGCTGGACCATCCATTCACATGTAATAAAATGATATGAATACAAGTGACAAAAAGGATGGCTGCTGGGACCATCCATTCAGGTGTAATAAAATGATATGAATACAAGTGACAAAAAAGATGGCTGCTGGGACCATACATTCAGGTGTAATAAAATGATATGAATATAAGTGACAAAAAAGATGGCTGCTGGGACCATACATTCAGGTGTAATAAAATGATATGAATACAAGTGACAAAAAAGATGGCTGCTGGGACCATACATTCAGGTGTAATAAAATGATATGAATACAAGTGACAAAAAAGATGGCTGCTGGGACCATCCATTCAGGTGTAATAAAATGATATGAATACAAGTGACAAAAAAGATGGCTGCTGGGACCATCCATTCAAGTGTAATAAAATGATATGAATACAAGTGACAAAAAGGATGGCTGCTGGGACCATACATTCAGGTGTAATAAAATGATATGAATACAAGTGACAAAAAAGATGGCTGCTGAGACCATCCATTCAGGTGTAATAAAATGATATGAATACAAGTGACAAAAAAGATGGCTGCTGGGACCATCCATTCAGGTGTAATAAAATGATATGAATACAAGTGACAAAAAAGATGGCTGCTGGGACCATCCATTCAGGTGTAATAAAATGATATGAATACAAGTGACAAAAAAGATGGCTGCTGGGACCATACATTCAGGTGTAATAAAATGATATGAATACAAGTGACAAAAAAGATGGCTGCTGGGACCATCCATTCAGGTGTAATAAAATGATATGAATACAAGTGACAAAAAAGATGGCTGCTGGGACCATCCATTCAGGTGTAATAAAATGATATGAATACAAGTGACAAAAAAGATGGCTGCTGGGACCATCCATTCAGGTGTAATAAAATTATGATTTCCATAATAGAAGTCTTAGCTGCATCATTTTCACTTAGAACAAATTTGACCATGGGATGAATGTGCTACTGTAAGACCAGCTGAGATAATAAATAAATCATTACTCAAAAGCAGCTATATTTATTTAGGCAAAGAGTAAATCAGGTTTTGGCGTACTATATTCTACTCTTAGCATTAGAGATAAACAAATCTTTAAGACTATGTTACTGCTAATTCCAGAAAAATCCAGATTTATGGATCTCACACTTCAAGACAAATCCACAATGGCATGTCAATTGTATATTTCATTATTGTGAATAAATTCCAGTAATTAACAAAAAACACAAAGTGACATGCTTTTCTTGCTTTATTCACACATATATGTATACAACTTGTCTTCTGAAATTAAATAAAGTTAAACATTTTCAATAGGTACATAAAAAAATTTTGACAACAATTTCAGAGCCAAACAACACAAAAACAACATTAAGTCCTAAAATGGGACTGAGACTCT